TAAAGAGGTATCACACTACTACTGGTAATAGCAGATTTCAACAGATTATTGATGAACCGAGTTAAAAATTCAGTAGACATCCAGCTTCGAGATTAATAGGTCGTATTCCGTAAGGATTAGTTGTGCACACTACGGATCATCGTTGAATAATCAATTAGATGGAACTCGTCACCATAAATCAACTTTCTTTGCTATGAGAAGGCATTTAACAATGTGGATAGGATGACATTATGGAACCTTTTTCGACACTATTGTATACCTGAGGAAATCGTTAACATCATTCAGAATTTATATGACGGACTACATTGTAAAGTCGTGTATGGAAGAAAGCTGAGAAATGGATTCCAAGTGAAGACAGGAGACAAACAAGACTGCTTATTCTCCATCTTCCTTTTTCTTCTGGTGATTGATTGGATTATGACGACTTCGACATCTGAAGTGAAGCACGGAATTCAGTGGACAGGTTGGATGCAACTAGACGATTTAGACTTTGCGGATTAACTAACTCCTCTATCTCATACACACGAGTCAATGCAAGTCAAGATAAACAGTGTAGCACCAGTCTCTGCATCAATAGGCCTCAACATACACAAGGGAAAACTGAGATCCTGAAACACAACACAAAGAACACCAAATCAATTACACTTGATGGAGAAACTCTGGAAGAGATGGAAACATTCACACATTTAGTTAGCATCATTGATGAACGTGTAGAATGTGATGCAGATATGAATGCCAGGATTGGCAAATCGAGCACCACATTCCTACGATTGTATGGAGTTGAGACTTGGATAACTACTACAACCATAATCAAAAGAGTATGAGTATTTGTAAACAATTGTCTATGCAAGATACTCAGTGTCCGTTGATCGGATGCCATGAGCAACAGCCTACTATGTGAGAGAAGAAATCAGTTTTCCCTTTGAAGAATAAATAATGATAAAACGTTGTATTTGGATAGTATATACATATCGGAAATCATCGAACTATATCACGAGTTAATCACTAACTTGGAATCCTGAAGGGAAACGTAAAAGAGGTAGATGAAGTGTCGAAATATGCCAAGAACTGGAAACAGATATAAAAGGAATGAAGGACAACTGAATACAAGTATAAATGATTGTCCAATTCAGAGTTTGTTGAAGAATGCTAGTGGACTTTGTATGTTCCTTGAAGAGGTCTAGCAGGCGTAAGTAAGTAGGTAAACATTCTTTCTACATTTTCAATGTATTAGAATTTTTAAGTTATAGTATGCTTCTCGTTCACTCTCATAATATTACTGTTAATATTTGTAAATTAGAAGTAATTTTGTTTTATCTACTTACTGGTAGTTTTTAAATTAGTATAGTGAAGTGAATACGGATAATAATGTTGGGAGTGATGTTTAAGTTTAATTAGGTCAGATTGCTAAATTGATCGACTTGGGTGTAAAAAGGAAATCAAATTTTGTACTGTTGGGTTAATTATTATGATAATAAACTTATGTACAATTATCTTCATTTTGTGAGTTAGATTTTCAAGTCTACTTTTATGTTATTATCTAAATGGCTAAGGTATTTAAAAGTGAATAGAATATAATTTATAGAACAATTGTATAACAAGCATGTAACTAAGATAAGGTTTTTTCATAGGTCAGTTATAATAAGATAAATAGGTATGTATGGCGTATGCTACTTATGTTTCCAAATCTAAGTAGTATATACCACCAATAGGAAGTGCAATGTCTGTGAACAAAATGTTGAGAAGATTGAAATGAAGAGGAGAGAAAAAGAAAATGAAATCAATCAAGACAACAACAAGAATAAAGGAATAATAAAGCTCGTAAGAGTCAATTCAAAGAAGATGTGCAAATGATGTATTTGATGTATAATTTTCACATTTTACTAAACCATTATATGATTGTGCATTCAACAATAAATTGATCATCCCTACTTTAGTGTCATCCCCTATACATGTATCCTTTTAACACTTGAATATTTTGCTTTATATTCGTTTGTACAACTTTAAGTAACAAATCTAATATCTAGTGTCTAGTAGTATGTTCACGCAATCCTTAAGAAAGGTAACCTTCGCATTCACTTTCACAAGTTTGATAGAATAACTCAGAAGCTCCTTCGACAGTAAGGGAACTTAATGAGTTTCTGCGTTATTCTGTTAAACTTTCGAAAGTGAATAACGATAATGATTGGTTGGAGATTGAGTTTAACACATAAACTCAGATGGTTAAAAAACTAATCCATCAAATCAAATAAATCCAACCTAATCTTAATATGTCCAAAATATAGAAGTTGGGTTTTAAGGAAAAAAGTAAACTCTAAGTTTTTAAAATTGACTGATCACTGGATGGTGATAGTACAGATCAAATCCTATCGACCGAAGAGCATCAGCTCCCTGAAAATTACTAGTACACCTTACTAACGAATGCCAAGTAGTACGAAACTTAAATCCAGGGTTTTCTATTGACTTCTTCTAACTAACATCTTAATGTTTAAATCTACATATAGAATGAAGGAACATAACATTGAATATTCTATAAAAAAAAACAGTAATATTTTGATTACATACATAAATCTCTTCAACTTATCAAAACTGAAAAACAACACTTTCATATATACATGCTGGTAGAACTAGGTAGAACTAGTTACAAATACATTTGTGTATATTAATAATAACATAACACAATAATAGAAATAACAGTAATGACATATTACTTGTCAAGTGTATAACTAAATAAATTATGACATGAATTAAGTAGTTTACACATATATAATAAGTAGTTAATATTATTTATGTGTGTGTGTGTGTGCGTGTTTGATTTCATTTCTTTCTATGATGGTCTGAGGTCAAAACATGAATCAAATGAGTAATTTCATACATTTATATAATTCACAGATTATTATAAATGAAATAGTAGTTATAATTGAATCTATTGTTTTTGATGTTATATAAACCTTTGCTTAAAATGATTTCATTTTCATTGTTCTTTAATGTTATGTAATGAGTAATATGAATCATATATATGTTTATTGTTATTTATATGTATATATGTGCATTAAATATATAGAGTTGAAAACAATATATGTTTGACTATATATCATTACGCTTACCAACCTTCTTTCATCTTTATATATATATATATATATATATATATATATATATATATATATATATATGAACACATATTACTTATAAGCAAAGATGGATAGTGGTTAGCAGTGGAATGTAGGACGCGCGTTTAATCCTATTTGGGACTCATCAGAGGAGTGTACCTGCATCTCAGGGTTGATGTTCATTCTGAGACTTGAACCCAGTACCGTTTGCTTCAAACGCTATCCTGTTAATCTACTTAACTACTGGGTCCTGATAACCACCTGCTTGTATTATATATACTTAAATCATTAAAACATATTTCAATGATATTTCAGATAAAATAGAAAATATTGTGAAACATATAGAAAAAAAAAGATTTGTCAACCATTATAACACAAAAAGTTGTTATTTGACAATGAGCAAGTAGTGTAGGATTTAAGATCAAAGGATTGATTTATATTTATCAATATCAGAAGGGATTTTTGTGGATATTATAGTAATTTCAATAGTTGAAATCATGATTCAAGTGAAGCTAGACCACCATGGAAAACGTGGAATCACTGGACGGTAGTTTCGTCCTATTGTGGGACTCCTCAGAAAATAATAAATAGAAAATAATAATATGATCATTTCGTAGAAAAGAAGTTCTGACATATTTATTGAGGTATAGTAACAAAATGAGTTTCTTTTATTTAGAAGAATTTTTATGGCATTTTGTAGGATTTGACTCCAACTGAATTGTATGCTGATTGTCATCGGAATACAGATGTCGGCTGTTCTCGTATATAATCATCGTCTCAAATCGCATTAGTGAATAACAGAATTAACTAAGCCTAATACGTGAATGGATTTTTGAATACATATATTTTGTATACTCATTAATGAGAACAGGAAATGAAAGCGATGAAGTAAATAGAAGAGAGAGAAGTGAAAGGAGGCACGGTGGAGAAGGCGTGTAAGCCAATTCGATTTAACCAAGCGTTAATCGATATTTATAGTCACACAAAAACAAGTTACAGACATGTAATAAATAGGATAAGAAGTGTATACACATACGTCCATATAAAAATAGTCAAGGTTGATAAGTGATTATTTAACAAGATCAAAACATGACTGAAGTAAAATGAATAAATTGGACTGTACGGAGGCTAGAATAAGATATGTGGGCTGAATATAGTAACCGACACTATAGCATTTTAGGTAATTGCATGAACTTGGAAGTATGTATGTGTTTGAAGGAAATTAAAAGTTATGTATCGGGTTTATTAAAATTACGACTACAGTTCTCGTATTGCTATCATAAAGTAGGGAATGTCTATGTCTTTTAGTTGACTAAGGTCTACTAGGTAGGTTTTTACTACTTTTAAATAGGATCAAATAGATTTCAGTTTTGCTCATCTAGACATATTTCAGTTTCTGTTTTAAATTATAAAGTGCCTTGGATTAGTTTGTTATTCATTGTGCCTTGAAAACTAGAGATTACTGTTAATTTGTTTGAAGGTATTCTGAATAAAACCAAACACTAGTCAAATATACATTTGGTAAAATCTCAATCATATCATCGCTAGTGTTTTTATTAGAGCTCGAACTCAGTAACCATTACTTCATTTAGACAAATAAGTCATCATACATACTTTTCATCTAATAAGCTTCCATTGTTGCTAGAACACAAGTGGAGACAATCAAATGTATTTAAATACAAAATTACAAAATCTCTTACTAAAATCTGAGAACCATAGAGTAAATATTCATTAATTGTCTCAGACTTAGTTAATCATTCATTTCTATACCAATATCTTACATTTCACTGTCGATTAGTGATACATAGTGTTTATATCTATCTACATCTGTAGCAATGTATCACAGAGTTATTTTCATGAAAAAGTTTCTAATTCAGTAAGAAATCTAAGATGAATAGCGAATTATTGAAAAAAGGTTTGTTTTACTTAGTAATAAGTTTTAGCTCCTTTTTAACAACTTATCACTTATTCATCTATGATATAAGTCGATTGTTGTCTACAGTTGTTTCGAGTTAGATCATCATCATCATCATCATCATCATCATCATCATCATCATCATCATCATCATCATCATCATCATCATCATCATCATCATCATCATCATCATCATCATCATCATCATCATCATCATCATCATCATCATCATCATCATCATCATCATCATCATCATCATCATCATCATCATCATCATCATCATCATCATCATCATCATCATCATCATCATCATCATCATCATCATCATCATCATCATCATCATCATCATCATCATCATCATCATCATCATCATCATCATCATCATCATCATCATCATCATCATCATCATCATCATCATCATCATCATCATCATCATCATCATCATCATCATCATCATCATCATCATCATCATCATCATCATCATCATCATCATCATCATCATCATCATCATCATCATCATCATCATCATCATCATCATCATCATCATCATCATCATCATCATCATCATCATCATCATCATCATCATCATCATCATCATCATCATCATCATCATCATCATCATCATCATCATCATCATCATCATCATCATCATCATCATCATCATCATCATCATCATCATCATCATCATCATCATCATCATCATCATCATCATCATCATCATCATCATCATCATCATCATCATCATCATCATCATCATCATCATCATCATCATCATCATCATCATCATCATCATCATCATCATCATCATCATCATCATCATCATCATCATCATCATCATCATCATCATCATCATCATCATCATCATCATCATCATCATCATCATCATCATCATCATCATCATCATCATCATCATCATCATCATCATCATCATCATCATCATCATCATCATCATCATCATCATCATCATCATCATCATCATCATCATCATCATCATCATCATCATCATCATCATCATCATCATCATCATCATCATCATCATCATCATCATCATCATCATCATCATCATCATCATCATCATCATCATCATCATCATCATCATCATCATCATCATCATCATCATCATCATCATCATCATCATCATCATCATCATCATCATCATCATCATCATCATCATCATCATCATCATCATCATCATCATCATCATCATCATCATCATCATCATCATCATCATCATCATCATCATCATCATCATCATCATCATCATCATCATCATCATCATCATCATCATCGTACACTTCTTGAAATCACTACATACTTTGCATTATATATACAAATGAAAAACCAGTCAGCTATTCAGCTACAACGTAGGACCAGGCACATATATGCATCCGTCCAAGTTACCATCAAGTTGAACACCGGATTCATAGAAGCAGTTAACTCAATGGTGTAATATATAAAAGAAAGATTGCATATAAGGACATAGTGCAGGAAAAAAAAATTAGTTGGTAGAAGGATAGATATGAAGCTATTTTACTCTCATATTTTAAAGGAAGATAGAGAGTGTATACATCTACGCCATCATGTCCAATTCTGACCCATATCACACAGAGTCTTCAACTATTGATTACGATAGTCACGCGAACCCTTATCAATTATTTTAAATCTATTAACATGACTCAGACTAGAAGTTAGTAACTTCATGGACTGATGTCATATTTTGGTTTGGCCACCCCTAACCAGTAAAATTGATTGATGATTACACCTTGTAAAGAAACAACAACAACAACAAAAAAGAAAGCCACTAGCTTGTAATAGAATAGTTTTAAGAACCAATATAATAATACCTACTTATTTGACTACTTATTTGTCATTATAAAATGAATAATAATTCAGATCATTTTGACAATTTGACATAATAAAAATCATAGCGGAATAAGCAAAAACTCACTTTTATTTTTTTTATTTACAAATAAAAAAAGTTATTTTGACAGTTTATATTTACTTCACGTGAGTATTTTATCCATAGTAAATAGTTTTGACAGTAGTTTATAACTTTAGATAATAGACATCATTTAACAATTTGAACTGTAAATATTTTAGTATTTTAAATAGAATAATAATGAATAAAGTTTAGGTGGTAGTTAGTAATGGAATTCAGGACATAAAATTCATGCTAAGATGTAATTTTGCATCTCAGAATTGTTGTTCACTTCAGAGGAGATTCGAACTCATTACTGTTCGATTTAAATGTCATCACATTATATACTTGGCTATTGAGTTCAGATAGCTATTAGCTTGTGTAGTAGAGTGAAGTTTTAATTGATTTTGGTATTGTTTGTTTAGATCTTCTCATTGATGTTTAGAACTGCAATCGATTGTTCAAATTAGGATGAAATGTGTATCCTGGATTCCATTGCTAGTCACTATTTATTTAAGCTTGTAATGCTTGTGACTGAAGTCAATATATGAGGCAATCCGAACAGGATGTACATATGACAATAAGAGACTGACTATTCCCAGTTCTTAATATCAATGGGAATATTCAAATAAACAATACAAAAAGAAATATGATGGTTAGTATCTTCGTAATTGAATTTTCAAATATGTTTCTATAAGCTGCCTTGAGTATACACCACATCTGTACTTGATACATTTTGACTAACTTGTTTATGAATCTTGTGATGTATGTATAGATCACTAACCCTTTATAAATGATGAAGTGTTTAATTGACAGATATTATTCTGATATAGATAATCTGTAAGTAACAGCCAGGTTTACCCATAGAAAATTTCGTCCTTCATGAATATTGAACAATCTTTTCTCAGTACTAGAAAAATATGTATCTAATTTATAAATTTTCAAGTTGACACAGTTTAAAGGGGTCTGTTCTCATTGCAAGCAAAACGTATATCAGATGATCGTCATGTTTTTTTGCATCTGTTCAATTCAATTAGCGTTGAATAGTGATGATGTTTGATTTCACGAGCTTAGTATCAAGAAAATGTAGTAGTTAGGATTTTGAACTAAAGGATTTGTATAAAAACATGGTGAGACTATAATCTATGGACGAACTTTGAACAATGCTAGAATGACCCTTAGAATGTCAGCCTACTTACTAGAGCTAAATGAGGGTTATAAAACAGTTTGAAGAATAAGCATTATAATTTACAGTTGATGGTTAGTGTCGGGAATTAGAATGAGGGTTTTCATCACGAACTGACGCTATTTAAACAAATGAGTGAATGAATTTCGGGTCAAAATCTGAGACCTGATATGTTGAATGTGATTGGTTCGTGCATAAATTTTAGTCTCGCCAAAAAACATCACTACTCTTTGTACGAGCACTACATTATATACATTATTTCCTAACTAAATCATTACTTGCTAAAAAACAATGTTAACTTAAGAAATTGTTTCTTGTTCACAAGCGAAATTGATTAGGATGTAAAACGAATATTCTTAGACAGCTGGACAATGAAAATCCATGTCACAAATGTGTATTGATTCAATTATCAAAATTCAAATAAGCATAGTAAACGAATAAAGGTCAGAGACAAAACAAAGGAGTGCAAATACTAATACTAATGGCTACAGTAGAGAACAACTGAATGAAATATGAAATGGATGATACAGAATAACCCAATTTTACAGTATGATCTATAAAAAAGGAATTAAGATTAGATACATGCACTGGAAGCAGTGCATGGTCTTCTCATACTAGGATGAGAATCCTCAACAGTGCACATCCACAATCACACACCAAGCGGACTCGAACTCACCACATTCAGTCTCGCGTGCGAACACTTAAACTTTATACCACTGAGCCGACATCCGATGGTGTTAATGTCTAACTTCAACCAATCCACGAAATTGAGCGATCATCTTCGATTGTACTGAGGTAGATACCTGTCTTTACTCGACACCGATTGGACTCTACTGGTCACAGCTTCTCATTAGGACTCTAGGAGGTCCATCCTAAAGCTAGTCGCTAGTTAGCACATTGATGATTATTAGCTATATGGGGGTTTCGGAGATTGTAACTTTCGAATGGTTAGCATACAAGTGTTGTCGCTAACCATTCTATCACTGAAGTCGTACTCTTCCATAATGGATGATTATACCATAGTTCGTTTTTTATAATTCATGAAGATTAAGACAAAGAGAAAAACGTCCTCCAAAATCCATTAACTACATAACAATTGTGTATTTGTCAGCAATAGACTTAAGAAAAGATTTCTAGTTCTACTATAAGTTTACTAAAGTTTTAAACGATGAACCATTGAGTATGAACGCGGTAGCTCAATGATATCATACTTAATTCAATATCTTAATGCTCTTTGGTTTGATCTAATACGTAATTGGTAAATGAAAATGTTGCGGTTTTAAAGTAATATGAAATAGTTTACCAAGACTTCAAAGTATCATTTCGTGGTTAAAAATATCTACATAACCAAACTTCTATTAACAAATCGTCATACAAAATACTGAATTACATATCATTATAATTTACTTAATATCAAGTCCATAGATACTAGTATGCATTACTGATCAATTAATTTCAGATACTTTTCTGAAGATAGCGTTTTTGTAGCGAGTTCGTTTTCTACGGGAGGAGTTCGTTAACTTCATGTCCGACCCTCCTCCTTTATTCCTTCTTATTGAAAAAGTGAATAAACTAAATATAAGGTAGTTTGTTTGAATAGTGAAAAAATGTAATTTAATAGTTGAATTTATGAGTCATTTGAAGCCACACCACCATAGAAAACCTGGAAGCACTGGAAGGCCAGTGAAGTTCAACTGGGTCATTTGTGAGTTAGTAATTCACTGATGACAATGGTGGACGGTGACGCAACTTCTTCGATTGGTTGAAGTTAGACATTAACATCATCGGATGTCGGCTCAGTGGTATAAAGTTTAAATGTTCGCACGCGAGACTGAATGTGGTGAGTCCGAATCCGCTTGGTGTGTGATTGTGGATGTGCACTGTTGAGGATTCTCATCCTAGTATGAGAAGACCATGCACTACTTCCAGGTTTTCAGTAATGATCTAGCTTAAACAGACTCATGAATTCAACTATTAAACATTACAACAATCTCCACGAACCTCCATTCTATTAATAACAAATTTGTCAATATATGGTTGTTCATAAATTTACGAAATATTGATTGATACTGCTCAGCATTCAATTTATTTGAGTTAAGTAATCTATTGAGACTGAATGAAATTACAACGTAGTTTTTATCGTGAGTTAACTTTCATTTAGGAAATCGCAGTGATTCGAACTGTGTTGTATGTCTGCAGTTCATGGTTAATGTAAACGACTGTGACAATATATTTCCATACTATTATTATTATTATTAGTGGCTTTTTTCAGCATTATATTTTTGGTACAACATAGAATTCTCAGAACAAAGTATTTCAACAAGTTTCTGTTTCTTACTTTTTGGTCGATCCTGACGATAAATATTGAGTGATTGCCAGCTAGAAGCTAGCAGTCCACGAATCGACATCTGAATACTACACATTCTTTTAGATGTATATTTCCAGCAACCACAATATCTCTGATTGTATTTTTTTATAACTTGTATAGTGGAAGGTCATAAACTTTTCACAAAAGCATGGACATAATGATGTATTAAAACAAACAAGAAAACAGATAACTTGTCGAAATATTCAGATGACAGAAACAAGTAGCCTAGACATTCAAGCAGGCCACCTTGTGAAATATTTATGCACAGTACACAATTATCCTCATTGTGCTATAAGTTTTCATTTTACCTATGCCTGCTTGAATATCTAGGCTACATGTTCGTACCATCTAGATATCTGGTGTTTTTGTTTTGTTTTAACACATGTTTATGTCTATTAATTGTATCAGCTATTCAGGTGCGTTTGTGAAATGTTTACAACCTTTCACTGTGCAAGCTATAAAAAAAGTACATCGTGAATACTGACAATATACATCGAAAAGAATGTATATGATTCAGATGTCGATTCGTGGACAGCTAGCTACTAGCTGGTGACCACTCAATTTTTATCATCAGGATCGACCAAGAAGTAAGAAATGGAAACTTATTAAAATACTCTGTACTGAGAATTCTATATATGTACCAAATATATACCATTGAATAAAGTCATCAATAATAATAAACAAATAAACCGAAAGTATACAAAGAATGAAAGTATGTTTTTTTCTTTTCTTTTCATAACTCTTAGCTTGCATTATTTGCTTGATATGATCTATAAACTCCTAATCATTCGTTCATTCAATTACCTTACAAAGTTGAAATATTCTGTCAATGATATAAATCAGACATGTATAATATGTATAGTTTAAAGTTGAGATGTTTTATTTAAAGAAGATACAATGCAGATCATTTTCAATCTATTTATTTAAAATAATTTTTATATAGTTACATCTCTCACTTTGATCCTAGAATAGAACGTAAAACAATTACTAGTTCGATACAGGAGCATTT